GTAAGATGGGATTGAATTTATCTTTAGTTTTAATAGGTAAATCAGGACTAAGCAAATTTGAGTTCAGCAGAACAAATTGTGTGTTTTTAGATTTGATATTATAGTGATTTGGACTGTTATAAATTTAGAGGTTAGAACATTATCTGCAGTGTTTACGTATGACAGATTTCTATGGCATTAAACATAAATATTTCAGCGTATTTTGAGTATTTTTTAATTATGAAATTGTAGGTACTGTTCTACACCTCGCTTAAAAACTGAAAATCAGTAAAAAAAACAGCAATAATTATAAACACAAAGCATAATATTTACTTTATTATCAGTTTCATAATAGGTCAATTTAATGTAATTATGTTATATTAAAACAAACAATACAAAATCGGTTTTGCTGCGAACGTAAATTTACAATAGGTATGTTGTACGTTTATAACATCGTACGAAGACAACCTCGAGCGGGTGTACCGAGCTATTAACGATAAACGTCTTTAAAGTACTGTATAGCAGTATTTCATAAATAAATAATATGATAATATGTATTGAATATTCAATAGAAAATTAAATCTGTTATTTTCTCGGGCTCACGATAGTCACACCAATATACATTTTGGCAGTGGTTCATATAAATTATAAGGGATTAATACAACGGTGTGATAATTTTATATTATGATAAAACATCACGTGCGGTGATGGAGCTCACCTGAAATATACTGTCGATTACCATATTGCCCTGCTCGATCGGCGGTAACTGTCTCTTGGCCCTGTACGAGCGCGGATTGGTGACCGAGGAGCCGTCCACGCTAGCCGAGTACATGGCGTCGGCGATCAGCTTGGATGCCAGGATAGCGATGGACAGCGCGATGAACAGCCGGATGGACAACGTGACGTCGTCGGTGGCCGTCAAGCGCCGTTTCACGCTCGACCGCATGGCCGCCGGTGTATTGTGGCACGTGCAACGCAAAGCCCTCTGTGCCCTCTTCGGTGGTGCGGCGACAGTCGTGGCGTTGTCTTCCGGTGCCGTCGATTCCGGGACCACGGTCAGTGACGGTATCGGGCGCTGTTGTCGAAGTCTGCGGTGACGTTGGTACGGCGGTCGTGTCGGCGGAAGCGGTTGTACCGGCGTCACTGCGAAGATATCTGCGTACGAAATGACAGCGGTATCGCCGTGGTCCACGGGCATGCACATATCCAAAGCGCTGTCTGTACGGTGGGTAGGGGGACGCCTATGTACGCGTCGCGTTGCGTAACCGCTGGTGGAGTGAGGGCGGCACGGGTCGAAGACGGTTGCTCAACGGATCTGTCCCGAAGTTGCGTTGCCCAATGTGCGTTGGTTGAGGAGAAAACAACGACCGTCTCTCGGTATCCCACGCTCTCAGAAACAGCAGCAGCAGCTACCGCCGCCGCCGCCGCCGCCGCCGTTATACTGATCGCCACCGCACCAACGTTCTGTTTATGCCTCAGCGATCACCAATACCATGTTATGGCTCACAATATCAAGGCCCATTAGATATTTTCCACCCTAAAGCGAAAATTTTAATGCTGTTCTTCTTTACCGATATTTATTAAATAATTTCTTAAAAATTGTATGCCGCCCTAAAACAGAATAACTTATTTGTGACCTAGTGAAGGGCCTGAATATCCCTTAGCCTGGGTAGCCAGGTGAACCAGCTAGGTATTTCCTCCTCTACAATGTTCAGCACCATGTACGGCAACTCCAGCAGATATTCGTCGACCAGCATGTGAATCAAACTCAGCGGCTGCATACCGGACATTAGGAATACGTTTTGTACCGGTCTGCGATTACTTACTCGAAGGCGCCCTGGTACGGAAAGTTACGGGGATGTATCGCGAAACGAAACGGAGATCGGACGGTGGTTGCGCAACAGCGATGTTATTGCTGTTGTTATTATTATTATATTGTTGTTGATGATGAACCTACTCGTCTTCCATTCGGTGCTGCGTGGGAAAATCGGTGCAGGTTATTAACCACGCGCTAACACTTCGATCTCTGAAATTTAATATCTCTTTCTCTCTCTCTCTCTCTCTCTCTCTCTCTCTCTCTCTCTCTATCTATCTCTGTATTCGAAATACCGATTGCGGTATTTAAACATAATCGTACTGTTATACGATTATGTAAAACAAGGCGTGTGGATTCCTACTTACTTGATGATGTGGTTGGTCTTGCGTAGGTCGTTGTTACCAGTGCTGCCCGCTTTGTCGGGTGGGTACGGCGGACGGTGTAATGAACTATGTACGATTTTCAAAGCTACACAAAGTAGCGAATCCGTGTAAAAAACTGTTTTTGCGCTACGCGGTAGTGCTACTTAATTATATGTTATGCACTACACTAATCACTATACTACTTGAATGCGTGAAAATAGGTCACACGTAGTAGGGCGTCTAAACAGGTGTCGAGTTGCTGATGAACTGCCACGAATCGTAACGCCCAGTCGGGTGCGATTCCCTGGTGGTGTCCGGGCTTTTCCCAGCTTGTGGCGCGTGCGCGGGTCATGCAGCCATGCAGCAGCCCACATCGGGGTGTTCAGCTCAGCGTAGGAGTTGCCGGGGGAAATAGGATATAATATATTTGTAGGTGCAATTCTTGCGATCGATCGTTAAAATATATTATAACATTTTGGATTGAAAAAAACGGCCGCAGAGAGGTGTGCACGTGGGGTTGAAGCAACGAGCGTCTTGCCATGATGCAGAAGAGGGTGGACTGACGTGGTGCAGCGTGGCGAACAAAAGAGAAAGGGGTGAGTGTGGGGTTGGGAGTTTGACGGTAACGGTGGACGACACTATTCTGACGTTGGGGAGAGGCCCGGCCCGCGATCGATCAAGCTTGGGGTTGATTTCAGGGTAGAGCGCCAGGTAAATCTCAATAGTGGGACTAGAAGTTCTAAAACGGCCACCCGGTAATATTACTAAGGTGTAATAGGTTGGTGGGTACCCCTGGGAGAAAGTAGGTTATAATAGAAGTGTATACATGACAGGTGACAGAGATGAGATATGAAAAAAATGTTTTACATAGGAAAAATGGAACTTAGTAAAATGTGTCTTTAACATTTAATGAGAACCTTACAGAAATAAAGTATTTATAATTTATAAATACATACAATATACAAATATATACTTATTGTAGACAAATTGCTTTTATATTAGTTTTCTAATTTAAATTTACTTGGTTTAAATATATAATATATTTTAAATTCTTTACTCCACTAAACATATATCCACTTAGGTGACCGACATTTAACAGAGTAGAAAAATAATAAATGTTTAAAATATGTCTTTAAATATACTAAATTTTCTCTAGATTGATTTCGTATTTTATTTTGCTTACACATTATATGCCACACTAACCATACAAGTACACAGTATTTCAAAAACGTGGTGGAATCATTTCCACGTCAACTTTTTCTCCAAATTGTATTGGTTTTTTTTCGGTCGAAATGAGTGAAAATTAAAAATTAACAGATCATGATTTATATGAACAAGAAACTATCGATAGAACATTTTTTTTCCTTATACCAAACGATAAAACATTTTTTATTTATTATGTGCGTATGTTTTACACACCCCATATTTACTACCATCAGCCGATCGATACAGGAACTCCCGCGTTACCATGGTCACGGACAATTTCCACACGCTCAAACCACGTTGTGACTTACGGTATGAGCAGGGTAGCCGTAACCACCGGTTAACTTGATGCTTACCCGAAATGAAATACGCCAATATCATAATATTATGTTGTAAAATAATGAACTTTACGGGTCGTTGAGACGTAGGTAGGTAGGTATGAATAACGAATTACATGACCTAAAAAATTATTAACATTAAACTGTCTACTTTTTATACACTATATGATATGAACCCAACCACAGGGGGACAAATGTCGACTAGGGCCTTACTTATCGATATACTTAGTACAAGTAAAATGTATAGCGTGTAATATAATGTTTAAATTACGACTTTAATTATTATACAGTGTTTGTCATAGGTGCTTATAAACACGTGTTTCACATTACACTATATACGTGGTACATTCGCGGTGTATTACTTTACTTTATTTACGTTTACTGAGTATAATATATTATTATATTATCGCAACAGTGACGTGTCCCAGAAATTATTCTGGTGGAGAGGTCCCTCCCCACTTTAGTAAATTATCTTATGTAAGTGTAAAGTAGAAGCATGTATATTGTCATGGTTTTATAAAAGACCACAAAAACAAATGTTATGTCATCCATAAAAAAAGTCCAAACAGTTGTTTAAAACCAGAAAACTGCTGAAGAATATTAAATGAGTATTGTTGTTGTTTTTCTAAGAGTGTGCTTAGTCCATTATATTTAGAACCGTAAAATTAATACAATTGTACTAACACATTTTTAAACTGATTAATCGTTTTGGTAATTTATTTAGTCGAAAACCATAAAAAATAGAAAAGCAATATCATATATGTGTATTAGACATGTCCCCACTTCGTCCATTTACCATTGCTATACATTTTAACGCTAAACGAATGATCCTCTTACCGTGTTATTAAATTATTTACCATTATAATACCTTGAACACCTTCAGTGATCGAAACTTAAATTATTATATAATATGTTAGTAAACGATTCGAGTTTATTATTGGCACATAAAATGTACAGAACCACATTGGATTATGTTATTATAAAGGCGTGTTTAAATTCTCTAAAAAAAAAAAACAAGAGAAATGCATTAAGAAAATACGATTTCTCATAGTTTTCAAAAATGCCATATAAAATGTTTTTAACATAATATTATTAACAACAATTATTCAAAAAAAATCATCATTCGACGTTGTTGTGATACATGGTATTATTGAATAAAGATTGTTTTTAAGGAGTTAAGTACAGGCAATTTGAAGACAATTTGTATAGTACAAGTACATGCATGTATGTGGGAGTATTTTATGTTGTATTGAATTACCATTAACAATCATACGGTTCGATTAGACGAGGGTATACACTTTCACATGCACAAGTCAACATCGCACTGTCACGCACTAAACGAATATTGTAAATTGTACTTATAATATTATCAATGTTTTGCCAATTGTGTTGATTATTTATTTATTTTTTTAAAAAACATTGTACAATTTGTATTTATTTTACACAGTAAGTAATAACTAATAAGTATAGTAAGATGTTAATATAATCTACATAATAAATAATAGCATGCACGTATTATGACGAGGAAAGTCATCCAATAATACAACCTTTCACCTACTTAGTCTATCGATAACATCAATGAAACCTAATTTAAGTTCGTCTTAAAGTTCACTTTAAAAATATTTTTCCTATATTCTTCAATTCATTGAGTTATTTATAATAATATTTTAAAATTTTAAAATTTTAATTACTTTATATTTAAAAGCGTTTACTAGTTCAAATTCAAAAAAGTGGAAAAGTTGTTTTCAATTAAACTCGGTGACGAATTGAAATATAATTTCAGAAATCGTATCCGACAACTAGGATATTAGGTACAATTGACAATTTGGTTGGTCAAAACTCAAAAACCATAAAAAAAGTTACATACAAATTCAAACATCGAGGTATGTTTGTCTCCATTACGTACATTATTAATAACAATATAATATAAACAATGTGTTACACATTTCAACATAACACAGCATTCTCTTTTCGTGTTGATAAATTATACCATAAACTCATAATCTTGGAGATTGTGAGAAAGACCTTCAAAAATCGGGACTTATAAATCTTAGGATAAAGCACAAATGGGATGGAATCCAACCTCAAATAAAACTCGAAATAAAGCTCATAAATAAAATTACATAACAAGACTTCACACAAATATTATTTTCAGAACATACTGTCAATTTTATACAATAACTTATAAGAGAACAGTATTTTGAATAGGATTTGATTAAAATATGTAAGCTATAATACAGATCAATTTTTTATGTATTACTTTTTAAGTAGTGCTTACATATAAATTTTAAATGCTATGCTAAATACTAATGTTTGTAGACTATAATGACTCTAATCTTAAATACTTAAGTGTTTTATTACATTAAAAATATTCTACATTTCAATATAAGCTAGGTAGGTAAATGTGATGCGGATAATAAAGCCACACTATTTCATTGGTTTTTGTGCAAAGTAGATAATATAGTTTTAACGTATTTAATACATAACTATATAATGTATACAACTAGTGTCCTACATATCATATTTTGAACAAACAAATAAATAAATAAATGTTTTGGACTAAAACTATGAGAAACCAATAATATTAATTTGTACCAAACGTGGCAAAATATATTATAATGTTATTGTAAAAACACATATTATGACTTAAGTATCAATTATTTTTGGTATTATCTTTTTAATTCACATCAAAGTGTATAGGTACCTACCTACTTACGCGGTGGTACCTATTATAGGACTTAAAATTTAATAAATGTGCCATAGCATTATAAATTGTGCAAAGATAAATTGAAGGTAAGTACATTAATTATTAAGAATAATTGACATTGTATTCAGATTTTTAAAATATGAAAAAATACCACATAAACTTAAATGAGAAAGGAAGATATTTGTTAAAAAGTGTATACTTTTATAATTTTATTGTTCGAATTGTATACAATATGAGCATTAGCAGTTTTGTTCATTTTGTTCATATTTCAAGATCTAAGTGTCGAAAAAATCAACTTGTACTGTGATATGTCTATATGTATGACGAATACATGACATTTTGTTTTGATTTTTAGCTGGGTATTTTCTACGTTTTTTTTGTGTTATTTTAGCTTTTAAGCTGTGGATTTTTGTACTATTTTCCGATCTATATCTTGACATTTGATTGAAAAACCTACATATTTTATTAGTTATAGTTTGTTAATATTTATTTTTGTACTATTGAGTCTGCGTGATCAATTTATAGTGGGTAGGAACAGTTTTATTTTCATTGTATCGATATAATCCGGATAATAAATTAAAAGTACCTCTCCGTATTATACATTTTTATTAAATCGGTTTTATTTTATTTTAATTAGGTACCTATTAAAATTTGTAATTTAAACATAGTAGACAACTAATATTGAGTCTTATTATACTTTAATACAAATATATGAAATCACTTGTATTGGTTCTTTTTTTAGATTTTTGTAAAGCTACAAAATTCGGACTCAATACTTATTTTTTTGATTATTTCACTACTAGTATTGATTAATGATTATTCTGATTTAATATAAATTAATTTCACTTATTCGTAAGCATATTGGTAATTGTTTTATTTTAAATTATTATTATATATGTGTGTATGGGACGTATTATAAGAGTTGCAACACAAACAAAAAAAAAAACAATTTAATCAATTTGATTTGATTTTTCATCCTCAGAAACTGGTAGCTGAATGCGTGATTTTATATAACGAAAAATATTATATCAAAAACTTGACACCGCCCATGACTATGTTCCACAATTCAGTAAGAGGTATGTGCGTTCTGTCGATATTGCGCTGTATTTCCCGTAAAATTTGAGCAGACGTCTTAGTGGTCTTGGGGAATTTAAATCTCTCGCAAATACGTTTGGAGCCCAGATACAACGGTACGTCACTATGACGCACCAAGTTTGGACTTATCGTATTCGTGTACTCAGCCAAGTACAATATCTCCGACAGACGGACGTTGTTGATCTGCAACTCGGCCGTGCTCGTTTGCAGTGTCAAGTCATCGGCGCACCGATGGCCCGGCGTCAGTCTCAACTCGTGGTACTCGTTGCTCTCGGACACGGTGAGCGTCCAGGTGGCCATCGAATCGACGAGGGCGATGTCCATGTCCGGTGACAGGAGGGTGTACTCGCAGCCCAGTTCATCCAACACCTCGAACAAAACCCTCTTCGTCCCCTCGTGGCTGGACACGAAGTTGAACTGGTCGAGATCTTCGTCGTCGATTTCCACGGTGGGAATCGCGTACAACATGACGCCGTCGCGGTCGCGGTCGCCCGACCGCCGGTTCAAAAACTTGTACACACTGTCGCTTATTCGGTTTTGTATCGCCTCGGCAAGCGTGTCCATGGACACGTTCTCCAATTTTGCGTACGGGGCGTGAGCGGGGTCTTCGGATTCCGTGAATTTCATAATCTGATGGGTCAAGACGCCGTTGGATTCCAGTTCGTGTTGTTGCAACACAAAAGCAGCGTAAATAGTAGCAGCGGTCATTTTCGACTTTTTTTTTGTTTGTTTACTTCACACGATAATATTCACTTAATTATGATGTAACGAAATTCCCAGGTCGTTGTTTTGCTTTAACTGTGATTCAGAGACCATTCGTATCCAGTGTGATCCATACCACGATGACGCAATTCTATCTACCTACAAATAAAACGTAACCTTATTACATTCATTATACACTATTTTAGGAACCTAATACTCACGTTACATACACATCGTATACATTAATATTAAGTATGACTGTATTTTTATGTCTCTATTAACTATGCAAGTACCTAGGAACGTTATTATTTTTGTATGATCAGCAATTATTATTAAATCGATTATTAAACTATTTAAACTAATTTTCAGATTAGCTTTACAAACGGCCATTGAGAAAAACAAATACAAACTTATAGTTATTTCATTTTGCGTTCAGGCTAAGCAAAAATACTTTAAAATTTAATCATTGCGACCAATTCAGAAATAATTATTCAAATCTATATTTTAAATTTATTAGAAAAGAAATTAATAATGAAGCCATCCAGAGCGTGAGAAATTATATATATGTACATTGTACACTACACTTCAGTGGTCTATATATTATTAACTAAACGTTACTATAGAAAATATAATTTATGTGTTATAATATATTACATATTACTTTATTAAAAAAATTTTTTTCAATATTTTACTAAAGTTGGCATTGTATTATGATTTTACTATTTCATTATGATTTATTACAATATCTATTAATTATATTAATGTAATTATCTCACATATATTTTACAATAAATAATTTCACAGTTCAGCAAAATTTAAATTTAACGAGTCGATAATGGTAAAATGGACATGAAATAATAACATTTGTATATGTAATATCGTCTTAAATAATAATAAAATAATAATAAGTACAATAATAAACAGTAATATTAAAAAAAAACTTGTAGGTTTATGAAAAATAATCAAAAAATAAATACCTTTTGACTTCCTAGTATTTTTAGTTTAATCAGATGTTTGAACTTTTTGAAAATATGTTGGCTGAAAAAAATAAATACCACTGCAAAACCCATACAATGATATGATGTTTATAATAATTAAATAACAATTCATATTATGGTTATAATCCTACCAGTATTTGCGTTTTGTACGTCCTCAGAATACAGCCTCAGCTATTGCAGGACGTATAGGTTAGAAACTTGGGACTACGGTGTTAAATTTATTGTATAATGACATCGTCATTTTTTTTTATCCATTTAGTATATAATATAACAACTGTAGATTATCGTGAATCCCGAATCCCGATCAATATCGACAGTAAATTTTAAATTAATTTACCTAGCTAATCTCACAGCCGTCAGCGCTAATATATTATGACATTAATTGTTTATACTTTGGCCTTTAAAAATAATTAAATAAACAATTTTTCATAAGACCAATTTAGATAACATTTAGTTTTTAATAAATGTATTATTTTATTTGTCGGTATAATATTTGTAGTTAGAAAATATAAAAGTAATAACAAATCAAAAAAATATTTAACATATTAATTATTATTTTATTTTAAAATAGCAACCGTTAAATATTTATTTTGGCATCTGTTACATTATTGCATAATAATGGAAATTGCATAATGGGTCTGCTGCGTGGAAAATACATTTATTATTTGCACATTAGTTTTGCAGTTGCACTTGTGAATATCTAAAAATCAGGTGCAGTCACTATAATATGTTATATAGTAAAGAAAGTGAGATGCGTACCTTTACTACCCACTCAAAAATTGATTTTGCGCAATTGAAGTTGTTTTTTACGATTACGTTGTATTGTGAGGATACAATGCCTTAACTATACAATCTGAAAATTAATTTGAATACATGAGAACAAATCAATAAAATAATTAAAAACACAATAATGTCATAAGTTATAAAATGTACTATGTATGAGTATGAGTACTAAAATCAAATATTGGCGTACACCTAACCGTAATTTGTTTTATAAATATTCAAAGTATTAACACGCCACAGTTCAGTTACCTTACACTAAAAACATAATACCTAATAACGCAATGTGCATATTTTTATAATATCTCAAGGAGACGCGGTACGCGCATAAAACTTCCAGTGGATAGCATGTATTTTTTTATTTAGTGAAATATATGTCATATTGAAAATAATATTGTGTTCATATTATGAGTTATACTAATCTGTGATATGCCATTTTTATTTTATTTATAATTCAACTTAACAATTTTTTGCAAAATCCAACAAATGTTAACAATTTTATTATTTAAAAACATTTATAGTATCGATGAAATACAAATTGCTGTCTTACATCAGTACATAATAGATAAAGTTCTCTTTGTGACATTCAATTATGTTAAAAACATGTACCGAATATTTTTGGTTCATGCGAAATTTTTATTTTTATTTATAATTTTGTAATCACGAATAGTTAGTGGTACTTACTGAAATGATGTAACCACTTGTGGATTACCATTTAAATGCTTATTCAAAAAAGTTAAGATTTACCTATATCATACCCCTTAAAAATCGGTTGTATAATAATAACGTTGTCGTATAATTAGTCGATCGATAGCTGTTGCTTTCGGAGCACTCCTACGACAGTAGTAAAAAATAATAGCTGTGGTAATGTAATACAATATAATATACCTACATGGTTTGCTATAAAACAAAAACAGTCTAACCTAACCTAAGAGTAAAGCCTTCGTAAAAATGTGTCAATTTCTGGGCTCCACCCCCTCCGAAATAATAATAATATTACAACGATAATATAGTCAAACGTTAAATCGTTCATCTCACTCTTACCTCGGACTCCTGGACGTGCGGCGACACAATCTGTACGTTATGTAGGTATATAGTTAAATACTTATATCACAGTGCAACATTTACTGTTCCAACACACTCGTCCACGTTTGCGGGCTATCGGACGGTCCCCACGTAATTGTCAATATAGAGGTAATAATATATTATATTATATTTAGACGACGATTTACTACTTGAACACGGCACAACACGTGTCACGCTGAGCTCTGCAATCGGTAACGCGATGTACGAGAGCCGCAGTCGTGCTCTGGTTTACACGATCGACGTCGTAGTCATCGTAGCCGCCCCCTCGTCGGATGCTGTGGTACCGACACAGCGACGGCGCGACGTTCACTCCTCCCCCTGCTGTGACCTGTCAACTATCGTCGATAATCCGTTTTTTGCTATCATATAAAATTATGACAGAATTAGGTAAATAGGTAATTGCGCACCGTGTTACGGTTATTATAATTCGGCGAAGGCGGCGGTATGGTAACACTTGCTCTATTGTGACTCACTATAATTTCCCCGTAGTCATCATTAAATTTTAAATACTAGATCATCGGGATGAGTTCAGAGTTGAGGGTTGAATAGATAAAAAAAGTTCGAGATTTATGTTAAAAGTTTTAAAATAGTGTAATGCACCTACAGCGAGCGTAGAATATACGTCTATCATTTTAACAACTTATTTTTCATTTGTATATATACCTAACCTTCGCTATACAGCGTATTTCAATGTATGATGATATTGTATTAAATGTCCTACTTTATTTTAATCGTAAACGTTTTTATTTTACGCGTGTAATACACTAATACTTGATATTTTTGGAGAATCGTGGATTTTTTTATTATTTCACAACAAAACAGAATTTTTATTGTAAAAGTTGTATGTTTTTGTAACTATGCATTTGGCTTTATAATTTTGAAAAATTATCGACTTACGTTTTTATCGTAAAATATATTAAATAAATAAACAGTCTGTATGAAACCAAAATTTACACACATGATAATTTGTTGTAGGTATCCTTTGCTGGAACTGCCTTTTTTCGCACCATGAAAAAGTTCCTATAGGTACTTATTTTGCATACGCCCTATAATGAACAACTGAAGTTCTCAAGACACCCTTCTTTCAATATTAAAACATATGCCAACATAGAGTTTAAATTTTAGTAAATGAGCAGTGAAGCTTGTTCTTTGGCTAGTTTTACTATTTTTTTCCATACAAATGATTTTTAACAAATGTGTAAATATTATTGCATTATAGCCATTTACGTATACTTAATACTTATATACTAATTTATATTTATTTCCCAGCTAATACACACGTCTAGGAATAAATTTACGTAATATGTCTGATACTCTGATGTCATAATTTTATTTTTAAGACATTTATCAAACAATTCAAATATCTATAAATTGCTTAAAATGTGTCTAAATCTTTTTAAAACTTAATTGTAAATGGACAATGATATTTTAAGAAATAGTAAAATAGAACAAAATTCCATGAGTAATATTTTCTGAATAATCACAAGCTAACCAAATTCAGAATAAATCATTATACATCTTCGTTTGAATATATAATGTCGTAAGCATTTAAACTTCAATTACTCAAAAAAATTATGTGGCTTTTCGTTACACTTTTTTATAGTTCCGGTAAAAAATTTCCAGAAATCTCGTATTCCATTTTAAGCTGTTATTACTAAAATTAAAGATTGTATTATTTTTAAACTTAAAAACGAAAAAAATTAAACTATAATCACATAAAAATATGTTTCCTTTTTTAAAAAAACTTATAAAAATCTTTGTATTAAATTGTCAAGCTTTTTAACTTAAATACAAAAATGTTATCATTCATAAACCAAAAAAAAACTCTGAAAGTGTTTCAAATATTTAAAATGTCTAGGTATAAAAAGTATAAAATAAAAAAACTACGGTTTTTTCGAACATTTCAACATTTTTGCTTTTTTCGTTTATTTGTTTGTTTATTTTGCTATAATTGTTTTATTGTTTTTCTTTATTATTTTGTAAAGTACTGGTAATTTTTTTACTTTTAATAATAGAATTAATTTGATAGATTTTAGTGTTTTTGATTAAAGATGATATAAGACACAAACTAAAAATACGGACAAAATCGCTCAGTTTATTATATAAAAAAGCACACTCGTCAGTCATCATTCTCTAACCATTTTGGTTTCAAATATTGTTTTCACATTATGTCTCTTCTTTAAGTTGTACAATTTAAGGATTTGGAGATGGGGATCGAATCACGCCTATTTTTTATACGTCATAGACCAATAAGCGGTGGTACACATACTTTGGAATGTCCAATTTTAAAATAATACATATATATGAATTCTTTGACAAAATATCTAGGCCTTCAACTATCAATTTTAAAGGACATTAAAATTAAGAATTTTATGAAATACTTGCATTACATTTGCATTTATATTTTGGGCAAATGTGATTTTAAATCAAAAAAGCTATTACTATAGATCATAGTCTAGAAGCTTATAAATTCAACCGTTTTTTTCGAAATTACAATCGGAATTCAGGAAGTATGACGTTTAATTTACTACCGGTTTTAGTTGTTTTCATAGTTATGTAAACAACGATATAATTAATTGTTCGCGATAAATATACATATGCGTACGAGTGCGATGGCTGTATCCGGTGGCGGTTGCACGACCCGGCGTGACAGCGATTCTCGGAAACATACACTAATGTTCATTTACTACTCACACATAGACATCATAGCCTGAATTTTCATGTCATATAAATTGCCTAAGCATTATACCTTAAAAGTTAAAACACGATACGCTCCAGTCTCCAGTCTAAGAGTAATGAAAACAATGACATAAAAGTTCAGCTACGATATTTTAAACAGAATTACGTATACAAAATACGAAAAAACCAATTCGATAATTCATTATGCTTAGGTGTATAATGTGTTTGCAATGTGTATGTAATAATATGTATATGCTGCATGTAATATATTATATTTATTATAGTCTCTGTAGAAAAAAAATAGGAAGGAAGGAGAGGGGGGGGGGAGCTCAACAAAGCTAAATTTGTATCTGTAAATAAATATAAATTAAAAACTAGGAAATGTTACTCGTAGCTTAAAATAGTGATAAACTGTAAACAAAATGTAACCTATTATTTTTGGTACTGTAACAATATTTTTTATTTTTATAACACAGTTTTATTTATACAAATGGGGAATAATATTTTTAAAACAGTATCTTATAAGGGTATGCTCAAGTTTGCATAGTTGATATTCTGAAACGCATAGTACATCAGGATGGAAATGTTCTGGGTTTTCATAGTTACAGTTTTTACTTTAAGAAATCACGTGTATTGAAATATATAATACTTAGATTTTTTAATCAAGTGCATTTTAAATTTGTGTATCGCTCAAGTCGTGATGGAAACTGACCACCCACCAATTTCTCGCTTCTAGAGATCATATCTACTAACCGTTTTTCTATAGAACATGACATCGTAATAAAATTACTCAACAGAAATTATGAGACTAATTGTAATTTACTTAGAATTATTAGTATTTAAATATATTCAATATTTAAAGTTTTAATTTTTTTAATTGTCATCAAAATTATTTATAGAAAACGCCTTAAAAAGCAAAAGCAAGTTTAGTTTTACTATTAAGACCTAGAGCAGAGGGTCATAGATGACTCTGAATGTTGTATGTTGTATTTAAGACAAAACAAATTTTTCTATTAAAAATCGGGATCATTATAAGTAATGAATAATAGTTTTTCTCTTTGAATAAAATATGATTGACAAACGCTAATAGGTATTTAAAACCATTCCAAAATTAATGAATATTAGGGACAAAAAAAAATATTGTAATAATACTTGAATACTTTTTTAAATATTCGAATACGTATTCAGAATATATTTTTTGAATATAATCGAATACGTATTCGGAATATTTTAATACTCATTTATTCGAATACGCATTCCGAATACAAAATAAAAGTACTCTTTACTAAACTGACTTTTATTAGACCAAACAATAATGTTGCATTATAAAATAAGTCATTTAAATAAATCATTTTTCTTTTAAACCTAAATTGAATTTAAATATGATACTAAGAATATGTCAGAGTGAATTACATTGTTTCTTTTTCTATTGTTGTTCAATTTCTCCAGCTCATCACTGTATAGAGTATTTTTTCTGTTGAACTTATATTTAAATGGAATACTTATAGTGTATTCTAATAAAGAGCATTTATGGCATTGAGTAAAATGTAAATATTTGAATGGGGTACATTTTCCAATTATTTGCTTGCAAAAAAATCAAATCGTGGTAAGGTTTTTTTTAATATAACATATTATAACTAACTTGCAATGTCTGAATCTTATGTTAACATTGCTACATCACCCAGTGGCGGATCCAAGGGAGGGGTAAAAGGGTAAATACCCCCCCCCTGAGCTTATTATATTTAAATTTTATAAATGTATTTAAAAAAAAAATGTCGGTAGAATTTTTTCGTTTTGATAAAAAAAATTGTAGGAAATCTTGATAAACATGATACGGGTTGTCAGAATCAAACCACAACATAATATTTAAGTTATATTCAGCGTTACGTATCATTGCATATCGGTATGAACCGCTAGATTGTATTCCTCTGTTATCTATTTACATTGTTCCATTGTGTCTTACCTATACATTTATTAATAGCTTATAACAATTAACGGTTATAACGATAAAAACGTACCCACTACCCAAATGAATTATGATAAACTGTCAATCGGGATTTGGTATGACGGTTTACTACATGGTAACTACACTTGTTAAATGTTAAAACCACAAGTACACTAATAAATAATAATAAAATTCTATCTTATCTTTTTGTATGTATATCTACGATAAACTATCTTGTAGACTGTAGTCTTTAGATTTTCAGATTAGTTGTGTCCTACGCATCAAAGTCAGTGCGTGACGTGTATTATTATATTTCCATTCCGTATTTTCAATTTAATTTTGTCACGTAAAAATGTCCAAACGAAAGTCTAATCCTATTCTAGAAATGTTCAATAAAAAACAAAAAAATAATGAAAATGACGTTGATCACCTAGCCTCACACTCGCCTGTGAAATCAGTAATAGATCAATGAATTACTAAATCCGTAAAAAAAAAATATTGTTTATTAACTTATATTTGATATTAAAACTGTTAATAGAGCTGCAATATGAAGATATTATAATTGAGTGTAAAGGTGATGAAGAATTAAATGTAAGTAATTTATTACAACTTCATTCTGACAATCCTGAAAGTGTGAATAATGAATGTAATGATGTTGGTATTTTGTTGGAGACAAAAACTATTTTCACTGATACCATAAAAAAACACTTGCTTACAAATCCATTTATTCTCCATCAAAATGATCCGCTACCATATTCTGAGCATTTAAAAAAAGGAAATACTGTAAAATATTATTTAAGATTTCATCATCAAGTAGGTATGAATAGTATCTGATGGATATATTTTTATTCCCCCCCCCCTGATGAATTTCTGGATCCGCCCCTGACATCACCATAGTAACATACTATAGTGTATTTTATCAACTAAAATTACCTTATACAGTCAATCATGTATGATAGTAATGAATGTACTCATATGGATATAATCGTATGAAAACAATATATTTCGAATAAATAACTAACCAACGCGCATTGTACAATAATATCACGTGCAACATGACTACATTGCAAAAAAAATGAAATAATATTAATACACATATACAATTATTTTAATCTTTTAATAAGTATAGCACGTCGAGTCTTAAGCGAAACAATACAATATAATAATCAATAATGGTACAAATAATACTAAAAAAATATATACATTTGTTGATAATGTACGCACAGCATACTTCCTAAGATTATTATGGCGGATCAGAGCAATACAAATATATTACATCATGCATATAATGTACTCACTCCAATTCCTATGACCAGTGCGTTTACAGAAAAAGAAAAAAACTTACCTATGTTCCCGTTGTACTCTAATAAATTATACAAGCTATTAATACGCCACTAATTACTATTATTTACTAATGATGACTATAACTGATGATAAATAATAAATCGATTCATATAATATACATATTGCAATAAATAATATGTACCTAATTATATTCGATCGGTTGCCCAATAATATGGTTTAAGATTGATGGATACATGGCTGCATAATATTATTATGATTTATCGTAGAATACTATTATCATGTCTTTGCGACGTGCCGTGGACCACAGACACTGTAGTGATTCCGTTGCAGCCGATTTTGACTACTTTGACCTTGCCTCCTTCGACGACCGCGTTATGCATCATCATCGCCGTCTAGCCGTGGTCGTGGTGCCGTTTGTCAGTCCCCTGGAAAACAGATTGGATGGCCTGAGGCTCTGACCGATGGAGCCCATCAACTCGACGGCGAAATCACGGACGTTGCCCGGTGAGTTCTGCGTTGGGAAAAATAAAAAAAAGTTACCAAAACTTCAATGAAAACAATATAAATGTCTTATAATAATGCTCTAGTAAATAAACATGTAAACGCAGAAGTGTAATAGATAATTAATTTATGACATTAAATTATACTGCATAGTGTTTGTCACAAGCTGCCGATAGATTAGTTGCTAATGGAGTACGCAGCTTCGTTAAAGGGGTTCGATATAGGCAAATCTAATGACATTTTTGGAAAAATATATATTTTGAATATTCAAAATATTTAAATAGATACTGATTCAGAGTAACTTACATGCGGTGCCATTGTTGATTGTTGTGTACTTACAAAATCAATAATCATATAGAAACAACTAACAAGGTTTCAAGCGGGAAAAATAGAAAAGGCTATAATATAGTGAAGAAACCAAATTTTCATCATACAATTCATCATTTATTCTTTTACTGACAAAAATTGTACTACTTAACGTTAGGTTAGCTTAGTTCTTCTGGTACGAAATGATTTTTAACTAGCAAATTATGGACTTGTGTTGCGTTCTTTTATAGGATTTATGAATAGGTAATAGTTGTTTTACACGGGAATCTAATCACGATTAGTTAACATTTATACGATTAGCTATTTCTTTATTGCTTTGGGCTTTGGGCTCATGTATGAAGCTATTTATGCGTATGAAATATGAAACAATGACCCTAAATTTGTGAGTACCGATTTTTTGGTGATAACAACTTGGTTTAAGAAATTGAGGTAAGACGGATTTGAGAAGAAAAATATTTTTGAGCAAAACTACTTTACCCGGTGACTCTTCTTTCAATTTGTATTCTGTGAACAAATATATTTATATATTATGCCGAAAAAATGGAAATGAAATCTGAATTTCACGGAAACTCTAAGGTTTTACTGTTATATAGCCATCTGAAGAAAGTTGTTTTTATCTAACAGCACATATTATTGACCTGGTAGGGTCACTCGGTCGCTGCGTTCGCTCGAACTATTTATATCATAAACATACCTTGATTTGTTATGTAAAACCCTAAACACTAAAAGATTCAAATGGCTTTAACATTAATACTTTGAATTTCCATGAAATTCAGATTTTATAATCATGTTCAGCATACATTGTAGAAAAAAAATGTTAAAAAGAGTGGCCCAGTTAAGTTGTTTTATACAATATATTTTGGTTACTTTATTGAAAAGCTGTGGCGTCATTTAAGTTTGTAGTAAAGGGGGGGGGGGCAAAACTTTCCTTCGATCACAAGCACATAATTCATATTATGTTCCTTTTGCTTCATAAACACATACATACATAACAACTTCCATGCACTGTGCCTAAACATAAATTTATTCCAATATTTCCAACTATTAAGTAATTAGTAATTGGTAATTATTATATTTATAATTGTGACAATAATTTCTTAGTACACAATATAATATATTTTCTCAAAATATTTTAAAAATAGCCATATTTTTATGCTCATTAAATATAATAATAGTTCAACAGAAACATCCCGGCACTGGCCCATCGGGCTGCTTTTAAAATCATCAGACAGAGGCAACCCAAAGCCCACCTATCCCCCTTCCCCCCAAATTACGCCACTATTAAAAAGTGACGACCGTTAAGTGGTGAATACGCATTCACCACGGTTTAGTATGTATCTGATCAATTAACCAGTTACATACATAAAACGAGCGATCCTCGTGTAGGTAATAACACGATAATAACCTGCAAGACGGATATTTTCAAAAATATTCTGAAATTCGATTATTGCGACTGCTCATTCAATGCATAAAGATAAGAGACTCTGACCTGCACGACAACAGTTGTATAGTGTTATCGTGTCGAAAACGCGTTGTGCAAAAAACCATCGGCGTACAACATAACAAAAATATTTAAATTTATTGTAAAGCGATCTATATCAATTGGACACCGACCTTGATGGCGGACCGGAGCTCGGAGTCAAACAGACGGCGCAGGCCGCGGTAGTTGCGACCAAACAGCTTGCCCAGCGCTTGGCCGGCCATCCTTTGGTCCGTGGCCGCCGTGGTGGACGCCGCTCCGCCGCCGACCTCGTTGTCAGCGGTATTGACGGCGGCCATCATCATCTGGTCCGCGGCGGCAGTGGTGGCCGCAGGATCTTTGGCCGCCTCGCTAATTGTGTCACGCACGATGCTCGAGACGTTTCGGAATGCTTGACGGGCGTCCGAAAAAGTCTGCAGCAAAGAGAGAGCATAAATAAATGTCGTGAACTTTGACAGTAGATCGTTTAGAAATATAACTACAACTATTGCAGATCCAGATAATTATTTAATTTTTTTTTTTTTTTGGGGGGGGGGAGATAATATATTATGAATATTAAGTAAACTGTAAAATCTGTATTTTAATACACATATACCTACTATTTATTTAATATTAAACGCAGAAATACAAGTTCCTACATAAAAAAATCCAAAAGGCATTACTTTATTTTTTATTTATGTATTATGTATACATAGTATATACGTCCAGGTTATTGGCGTTTCTGAAATACATTACATTTTAAAGATTGATACTAAATATTTTATGTGTATTTACACGAAAGGCTTATGTTAATTTAAAATGCCATTACTATTTTGAATAATAACATACATTTTAAATTTCATATTCTGATATTATTTTAAGTATATTGATCTATAAAAATCGAATTTCGAACAAATAGTTTATTAGTGTTAAAAGTTTAGTAAAGTCAAGTAGTGGGCATATAGTTTGCGGTTACCCCTTTGTATCACTCTGCTCTACTTCTTATATGAACTTTAAACACTTATAATTAGTAATAATTTATAAATAGCTCATCTAAAGTTCGAATTTTATACATCTTTATCCCTAAAAATATTATATTCTAGAATAAGGAATTCAAAATGTATGTTGTCATTAAGAAATAGTAAAAATTTATAATTTTTAATAAAAATGTTGATTTTAAAGATATACAATTACGTAAAACAAATATTTTCAAAAAAAGTTATGTTTTTGAAATAATGAGTATGTTACGTTAAACAGATGATGTACTGATGTACAGTAAAAAAATATTATTATTTTTCGTAAATGTAAGTTAATGTGAGTTTTTGTTTCTAGATTAACGACAAAATAAATATTTTTGACCTCATTTGAGTACGTTATGATAATTATTGACACTTCAACAGTTTAAATGGTTTGACATTTATAAACAAAATATTATGTTTATTCGTTATCAAGCCCCACCGCCTTCATACCCGTGCTAATATTTATTGATTGATTCGTTGATTTGCCGCACTTCGGGGAGAAAAGTTGGTGTAGACATCGCGGTTTATAATATATTATAAATTTAGCAATGAACAACGTCATCTACAATGTATGGACATAATATTGTACAGTTGTACTGGGTTGTTAGGATGGAGTAAACGGTTTATTTATTTATTGTTGTTTTTTTTTTTTTATTGAAACATTAAGAATCCATGAAATAGATACCATCTATAGTTTAGTGTGCTTCGTGCCACTATTTTTGACACATGACTGAGTTACGAAAGTAACGAAATCGAATGTTCACACGATACGAATGAGAGGTTAATCCGTTTGCAACCATCAAAAATGCCTCTAAGGCTCTAACGAATAACTATTGACATTACGTCATAATATATCTAGTTATGATAACATCACTGATTTAAAAGATTGACAACTTTTTTTTCAACAGTTCAATATAATATTACATTATAAATTAAAAACATGACGTGGCTATTTCACAGAAAATAATCATGGCATGGAAAATTACTGCCCGTCATGTCACGTCAGACACCGGTTAGGGCATGTGGGTCCTATATATGGGTCCTTTCGGTATTTTTCACTTGAGAAATGTAATAAGTACCGAATTGTGTATTATATATTTTATATAAGGTATACTCACTCCACCGATCAGCGAAAATGTCAAAGCCACAACTCCGGGTTCACGGTTTGTGTTCTTGTTAAACAGTTGCCTTTTCTGCCTTGATGAGTCGTCGAGATTACCGCCGCCGTTGTCGTATATCCGCTGACCACCCACCTGCTGCTGCTGTTTCTGTAGCTGTTGATGGTGCCACAGGTTGATGTAATCGGCGGCTTGTGGTCGGCGGATGTCGCGCACGGCAGCGTCGGCCATCGGCACCATGGACGCGACGGTCAAGAGTGCGGCTGAAGACAGCACTACGGCCAACAGAGCGGCCAACAAAACGAACGCCGCAGCGGAAGCGGAGGCGACAAACGCAGCGGCCTCAGACGGCGGCTCGCTGTCAGAAGATTCGCTTGTGTCCACGGCTGTCTTGCCGCTGTTTCTTCTGGTGGTGGTAACGGTTGTGGTGGCGTAACAACAGGCCAAGCAGTGACAAAAAGTGTTACTGGTTGAGGCCGTTGGCGATGTCCGTTTGTCGTTCACGGAGTGGCCAAAGTCACTGTGTAAAAAGAAACGAAAAAAAAAATTATAATAACAAAAACCAAATCAATTGCTAGTTCAAAGCGCTATAATTTCACATTTTAAAATATTTTAATTGTAATTCAGTTCATAAGGAGCAAATCTGAGAGATACGTGTGTAATTATAATATCGACATTATTTGAAATTCAAAGAAAATAACTATCAAAGATTTATATAGTTGGATAGACATATAGTTCGTTGTTTGCTGAATCGTGTTTAGAATATGTCACAAAACAAACTAATAGCGCATTGTAACAATAACGTACTGTCTGTCTGTAGTCAGATTCGTAGTAACTAAGAAGAATAACATTCTTATTCGGATACGGACAAGAAGTTGCTGCAGAGGTGTATAGCTTGTCGCTGTGCAAGTCCGTGTGGAGGTATGGTAGGAGGCAGAGCCTACATCACGCGATACGTCGATCTAACCGGAAGACTCCGTCGTCATATTAATTCTTTTCGTGAGACAGCGGCGAATAATAACAATAATAATAATATTGAATACTATTACGTGACTGAGACGAACACTATGCTGTGACGACACGAACGTGGTGCCCATCGTGGGGAGGTAATAAGGCATAATAATCGTGTCTACATGCCTGGTACTACTGTGCCTACGAGATACCTATACACACACACACACACACACACATTATTACGGCTATAATTGACCGGAAAATGATAGACACTGCGGCGGGACCCACATGTACCCACGATGTTGTATCATCATAATAATAAAAATGTTACATGGGCATCAACGGATATTAAAATGTATACGCTCTCTTCCCGCGCGATGATCCAGAAGAGTACCGTATTAATAACAATTGATTATAACAATATATGTTTTAATTACGATATTATGTATACGACATCCGCGTAACTGTTACATTATGCTTATGCACACTGACCGCGTAATACAATAATATTGTTATGCATACGTTCTGTAGCTGTACGCGCTCGGCGTACCCGCTCGACCGCGCCCACGCCCACGCTTCACTTTGAGCGCGAAAACCGTCTCACGCGATCTTATAGTCGCGAGCCCTGGGCGAATTGTAAATTGCTACACTAACAGCAGTGGGTCGTTCTTTCTAATGAAAATAGTTGTCCGGTCGAAAATACTTGTTTCTGAATAAGGTCACTTCCTGACATTGTTAATACATCAGAATATTATAATCTAGTGTCGTAACCGATATTTTGTTTTCTTTCTTAAAACGTGCAAAAACTACTTAAACAGACCGATCAATGGTGGCCCACAGCTATGCTTATAACATATTATCAGGTCCGACTTGTAACACTATAACTATTATGAAAATTAATATATTTGGTTGTTATCAGTCGTGAAACGTTAAAAAGCTGCACACCCACAAATTGTGCCTAAAAAAGATCTCTCTCAATCTATGTAGTCACAGTTGGGAAACCGAATTTATACAGAAGAAAATATATTTTGCTGGTTTTTATTATTTTTAAATCATTAATACAAAAAACTTTATTAAAATCTATTGTTTTAATGTTTGTTTGGAATTAAATAATAGTATAACAACAATTATGAAAACGGTATGACACAAAAAAATTTAACTGTAATACTGTGTATACATTTTGTTTCTTATCGCTATGATTGCAGCCTGAATGCCGTTAGTGGTTATTTTTCGAGTGAAACTTTTTTTTTATTCAACAAATCGTGCAACAACCGACCACGGTAGCACTGTGAGTTAATTTGAATTTGTAGTAGTAATGTTTGAAATGCGATTAAAAATAAAATTTGTCATTTTGATCAATATTTCACGAATATTGCCTATTTCAAACCCCTTAAAAATCGAACGACACACATCTCATACGGTCATATATCAATAACAAATTCATATACTCCATCACATTGGTTAATGTATTCTTAACATTATTATTTGAGTAGCCTTATACCTAAATAGCCAATAGATATTTTACAAAACAACCATTTTGTATATTGCAAATCTAACTTTAATTTACTGTAGATATTTTAAATTTAGTTAGTTTCACTTGTCAAGAGAATAAACCTAGTTCAATTTTAGGTAACCAAAATTATTACATACATAACCAACTAGTGTAACTTTTTAACTAGATCGTGCCTAGTTCCGTTTGCACTCGATAGTTACTAGTTGGTATGCATATGCTGTACACGGAAAGCACGTCATACAGCGTATACAATGTTGAGACGACGACAACGACGTAACAATAAACATTTTCGATTGTTTCGCTCGCGGTTTGGTTACCAATTAGGTTCGTTGCAAAAAGAGAAGAGTATAGGTTCTTTAATTTGAACAATTATTTTTAAGGAGGTGTGTTCTTTTTTTGGCAAACACTGTTTAGGGAGTTAAAAATGTTTCAATCACCACGTATCTACGACTCCACTGCAATATTTCTACGCTTAACCCATAACATTGTTAGAGCACAGTTGTTTATCCTGCAGGACCGGACTTAAGTATAAATGAAAATCAGGTGCGGGGATCAACTAATTAGGGCTATTATTTTTAGTGAGTAATTTGACTTATTGTATTATTGTAATTGATACAAGTACAAGCTATTCAAATTTCAAAGTTATTTTTAAATCGTTTGCTATCCACAAGGTAGTTATTGTTCCGATCAATCCCGAATAATCCCAATTTCATACCTCAAAATTCAAGAAAAATATAAGGATATACTTTTATACATCACAATTAACATTTTTTAAGTATTTAAATCCACAGGTCTAAATGTCTAAATGTTTCTTTTGTCTACTCTGTAACTCTTGCGTCTTACATATCATACTACGGATACGTTAATAACGAAGTATATTCTATTGACTATTGTTCTTGTGGTCATAGGGAGGCAAAGGGGCTACGACCATGTGGTATGTGCTTAAATTTTCATCAATTTTCACAACCTTCCCCTACCCTCACTTATCAAAATCACGAAAACACAATTGAAATATTCTTTATTTACAAAGTTTTATGTGAATCAATTATAGAATTATATTTATTTTATTTGTGTTTAATAAATATTTTTTAAATGAATCATTTTTAGTCATGTGATATTGTATTATAATTTAAAATACATTTTTATTCAAAAATATTACTAGAAAACATGTTTATTCTCGCTAATAAATTGTTTTATTATTAATCATCGCGGTCATATTATGCCATTATGGTCCTTGTGTTCGCGGCATAGTCTACGTACAACATTTTTTGGATAGAATGTTTTTTCAAGGGCGTATTACAGACAAATAAACAGTAGGTACTTATTAAAGTATTATTGCAGTACACCGTAAGGTTCTCGGAGCGTCATCGTCTATAATAATAATAATAATCATATATAGAGCGCCGGTCGACGGCCTCGGCACCGCCGCCGTGACTTTCACTATCGTAGTAATAATAATATTATAACGATATTAAATTCTCTTTCGTTCGGTTCGTTCTCGATTTCTCTCTCCTCGTTTTTCTCGCCTACATATTAACAATATATTATGTTATTATCGCCACCACCACTCACGGAATTGCTATTCACACCGATGTCCGAGTGCCTTAGCCTTATCCTACTTCCAGGTGAGTGTGTGTGTGCATGAGTGTAATATTATATAGCCGTCTTGCCATGATGTAATATCGTTGCCGGCCGATGGACGGCGGTGGGTCCTTCGCCGGCTCATTAAAAAAATAAAAAAACACACAAAAAAAATTATATTAAAACACGCGTTTGCCCGCGTAATCCCATATGTAGGTAATATGTATGTAATAGTAATACATTTCGTATTATTATCATTTATCATTATATCCTTTCAGTCGATTTTTAAGTTTTCGTGACCGGCGTGTGCTATAAGGAAGACTACCACGACGTAATGACCATAAACATTTTTATACTGTATTTATAGTAGGTATTATGATGATACGATGTTCTTCGTAATAAACGCGTGTTCGCATGCCACACACATAATAATTAATATTATATATTATATATTACAAGTACTACGTTCGATATTAATAGTAGGTGATATACTTATATTCATATTATCGTTAAAAGCTAATTGCGATGATATTATATCCTACTATGTATATGTCTGTATACTTATGTCAGCCATTAATAACTGTTACAATAATCCGATAGCGTCCGCGTGGATGAAGGCTATACTAATCGAATGTGGACTTCATTTGGAATTTTTAGGAGGGGTGGATACAAAGGTGGTTATGGAGGCAAAAGTTTACTCCCTTTTCTTTATATCTAGTTTCAAATACACATTTTTCATTAATCGTTACGCATATTTTTCAACAATATTATACTTTGTCTCTACATCAATAATATTTTATATGATTTTTTTAACAATGAATATTTTAACTAATATTTTTATTGCTTATTATAGATGTGTATTTTTAATTATGATATTCCTATAGATATACTCATGTATTTTCGACTATTTTATTTTAAAGCAAAGACTAACGTGAATGGGTCAAACATATTCAATAACACAAAATAAGTGCTTCTTGAACGTATACCAATCCACCTAAAATGTAGTTTATTATATCGCTATAGTCTATCTATCAACTAATAGGAGAATGTACTATTTATAAATGAGAAGTAACGTTCAAAGTATTATCTTCAAAATTAAACATGACTTCAGTGTGACTTTGAGGTGTCTGAATAAAAATGTTTCTTCAAAAAAACCGAATTACTTGTCCATCAAAAAACACGTGAAATTAGGTTTTCTTCTGTTTTCAAGAAGATAAAGTGGAAAAATGAATGCAGACCTTTAAAACCAACACAGCCGTGTAATTTAATTCACACTCAATGATATAATGTAATACACGACCTTTTGCATTAAATGGACACAGGGTTTATGGTGGTGTAGAAGTGCAGTGTCATTCACCATACCGGAAATGTGTAATCGAACACCATATTTACATCTTTCTGATTGGCAATATTTTAAAATGTTTACATGGAGTAAGGAGGTTTGTTAGAACTTTAGGAGGTGTCAACCAACAGAGATCAATTCATTTATAAGCTACTTGTACGAATGTGCGAGTGTAACAATAATAATATTCGTGATTTTCAAGTGTCCGTAAACAATACTATACAAAGAAATATTTCACCGAGTAAGATGTACAAGACGTCTAAGATATCATGTAGGGGAGTGCAATAATTATTATTTTATTATGTTTGATATTTTTGGTTAACTTAATTAAAATATTAAAAAAATTGTTTTCGTGTTTTTCAAAATTATGAAACTACCATATAATTTGTAAAATATTTTAAAAGTCAATACACTGATAAACTCGCTTAAGACACTCAAATAGCTATACAAGTCGTAAAGGTTTGACAGAGTAGTGAAATGAGACACTCTAAAGCATTAGCCATACGAACGATACTCGGGAGTACGGCGGGTTGTTGTCATTCATAATCCGACGCAGAGCCGTCGAAAGTCAGCACTTATTACATGTGACACAAGTCATACATGGTTATGACTACTAATTAGAGTATTTAAATGTTACTACTAAATAAAGTGGAGTTGGTAATAATAAGTACAGATTATAAATCGGTTCAGCGATTACCTCGGAACATTTCGTCGGTTGGCGGTGTTTCGGGCTGGTATTTTTCAAAAAAAAAAATGTTTAAAATCCGAACACGCCTTATTCCAACTCGCGAAATCGTCGGTTTATGTAATAATTATAGTAGGTTTGTATTCGATATTAATCTCATTATATTTTAATATCAGTTGTGTAGGTACCTGCAGTCGGTAGCGGCTGTGGTCCCGGCGGTGAGACCGCGGGTACATCGGGCCGTCACCATCCTCGGTGAGGGTCGCGTCGATTCCTACGAGCCGCCGCGGTCGCCGGCGACGTTCTGCCGGCTGCAGTTGGTGCAGTGCTGGTGGCGCAGAATAATGTGCCGGATGACCGTATCGTCACCGCCGCTGCCGTACACGTGCAGCAGACGGCAGACCGCGGACATGACCTCGAGCACACTATATGTACGGTCGACGTATACGGTACGCCGGGACGTCCAGAGGATATCGGAAAACGGCAGGACGTCTGGGGCGAGTACACGAGGATAATAGTAATTATTAACGACGAATAGGTAATTGTAATATTACGTTCAGCGAAATAATAAATAATGTCCCGGAGATGTCGACGCGTGTGGGCAGAGTGCGAGTGTCGGTGGGCTGCGGCAGCTCGTCGTCGGATTTCGATAGCGGACGCCAGACTGCCGGGCAGTCGCTATACGCGGTGGGCCTCGACCAACGCCACCACCGCCACCGCCTCCTCCGGTTCTTGGAACGCGTGCACGCCGCACCACCACCGCAACCGCGCGGAGTGGGTGTAAACGCATTCGGAGAGATGGGTATATGGTGTCGTGTGTGCGCGCGTGTGTATATAGTATGTCATATGACGGCGTGGAGTGAGAGGCGTGCAGGTGGTGTGTGGAAGGTCTTTTTCGGCGGCAGTGACAAAAAAATAATAAAAATATATCATTTTTGTACCGGATAATATTTAAGTAAGTGAAGGAAAGAAAGAAAAGAACCTCTGCGGCACGCGTGGAAGAGGGGTGGAAGTGTGGTGGGAACCAGGCGTCGGCGGTCATCGCGTTACGGATGAAGTAACTCTTATCATAATATAATAATATTATAGTTCCTATATGCCCACTGCAGCTTATAGAAATATATGTAACCTGCCGTATATATAATGTATAGGTATATAATATGTGGTATGGTTGCATCATCGCCGCCGCCGACGACCGGTCACGAGAGTGGTATAGGTATGCAACATTCGCTCAACATTATAGTAGACGACCAGCAATCTTCAGATGCACGACCTACGACGGAAGCATATCTACTATCTACATCGTATTAGGAACTATACCGTCCGCTTTATTATTTAATAATATTATCATGTTGCCTTACATAATAAGTAATAACGTATAATATTGTTAAATTATTCAGGGGATTCGATGCTGACTGGGTTTTGTACCAAAATATACCTATCTTATACCAATCTCACGGGTATCTTAGTAAACGGGAAGAAGTCTTAACTTCAGAAAACAGATTGTCATTTTTTTTGGAATTAGCTCGGAAAATGTTTTTCTGTTTTATGAAATTGAAGTTCAGTTCTTTTTAACCCATTAAGATTTCATTCGTACATTTCGAATATTAAGAATTTCATATTATTAATAATATCAAATTGAAAAAATCAATTATAAAATATAAAAAAACGTTTACAAGTAATACAAGTAAATCCCACGAAGAATATTCAAATATTTTTCAGACATTTTGTCGAATAAATAGGTTCATTAATACAATCAGTAAAATATTGATACAGTTAAAAAAATAACGATTGAAATTCGTGTAGCTCATATAATTAACACGTGCTTGCATGTGTGAGATGCACTGCTATTTCTCTGACACTACTGCCACACACACGAATGATATCTTATTAGCTATTACTTATTACATACACAATTACACGACATGTTCACAAACAATTAAAAGTTTGCCTATATCGAACTCCTTAAAAATATCGGTACTAAATTCCCTTGTGGTAAAAGTGGGTCATTCGCAACACCCCTTCCCCTCACTTCACTCACGACAAAATCGAGTAGTTCGAAACTTAGGTCACCGAAGTCGTCGTCATCGTCGAGAATGTCGTTACGAGACATTAAAACGCGTTATATTATTGCGTTACACAATACCAGCTGATCGATATACTTACTATTCGAGACTATATATTTTTCATTTTCATTCAGTTTAATATCGCCTAATCAGTCTTGTAAAAATATTTAAAAATATGTGTTCTAATACATTCTTACCTAATAGTCTGTAGTATCTATTGAGTTTGCAGTTTTACCGAAATAGAGTGATTACAGAGTATTATCAATTATAATTTATCATAAACAATTTTATTATACGATAAATATATTTGTAAATGCATCACAATTTTAATCTAAATGCATATGCTTCAACTATTCATTAATTTGCTTGGAGTTGTACCACTTATACTTTATCCAATATAAATAAGAATGTATAGACATAGGCGTAGAATTGTGGGGGCTAAGGGGGCTATAGCCCCCCCCCCAGAATTCTACTAAGCCCCCCAGAAGTTCTCGTGTAATAGTTTACTGTCTTATACGTCCATATGTGGGAACTTAAAACATTTTCTATTATTTATTTTGATATCCGAAGAATATTTTATTTGATAATTCAAATTTTTAATTATTCATTTATTTATACATTACAATATCATATCGACATTCGACATCAATAACAATAATAATATTTTGTTATATACCTAGTTCTATCTTCTATATTATAAATTAATACATTTTAATCATCAGAAGACTATATAGTGACGTTATCGCCGTTTACATTTTATTGAACATTACGAGGTTAGTAAAATACATGAAAATATATTATTACATTAATGTTAATATAAGGTTTTTGTTTTTAGAATGCTTTATGTATTGATAAAGACTAACTTAAAGCTGAAATGCTAATTATGAAGAATTGTATTAACCCTTAAAGATGATTTTGACATAGATGCTATTGTATCAGAAATCAACAAAAACATTTTTCCAAATTTGTATAAGCTTTTGCAAGTAGTACTTATAATTCCAGTAAGTTCTGCTTCTTGCGAAAGATCGTTTTCGGTAATGCGGCGAATTAAAACATGGCTACGAAATTCAATGTCTAACGATAGATTTGAAAATCTATCGTTACTCTTCATATTGAAAGGGACTTAGCTAATAATATCACATCTGAAGAGGTTCTTAATGTATTTGCGCAAAAAAGCAGACTTTAAACCTTATAATATAGTAATAAGTAATAATTTCCTATTTGAAATGTTTTTTTTTTAAATATTTAATTCAAATACAAAATATGCATTTGATAATAATATGATGTATGGTATATTATTTATTTTTATTTTACTTAATAATGTGCTTCTTTAGTCCTTTTTATATTTTGTTCCTTTATATTTTTCTATAGTTATATTTGTAGAATATAATATGTTCTGTACCTGAATCATTATAGCCCTTATACAAAGTAATTCGCAAGCAGTTGCGGCAGCGTCATTGATACCACAAAAAAAAGGCTATAGCCCCCCCAAAAAAAAATCATCACGCTGCGCCTATGTGTATAGAAACCAAAACCCACCGCATTATTATAAAATAAATTAGTATGTAAAATATATGATTCCTTTATCTTTGCTTTTACATATAACCAAACTTGTAGTTCTTAATATTCCGATATTGAATGAGTATATTAATTTACGTCATATTTCACCGAAATAATTTTGTTACATTTGGTGCATACACGTGTATATGTATATGAGAACAATAGAACATAATATTTCGTAATTTTTAAATTTCTTAGTGCATAATAAAAATTGATACTAATATTAGTTATAACTTCTTAAACACACTAATTTATTCTCAAATCGAATTAATAAGCAGAAAAAAATAATTATACTAAAAAACGTATAGATATTATTCACTACTGTAGCATGAAAAAATATTTACGTAATTATAAACATGTTTATAAGTGTTTTCATAATTTGACTGTAACACATCTCATTATATTAGTCTACTGCTTTATGAACATGATTATTCTCAAGGTTCTGGTATATAAAATTGAAATTGGGGCATTAACTATTAATTTAATAATTAATAACACAACAATATGTTCAATATAATTTAGCATATCCATTATGCATAGGTACCTATTATTATAGTATTCAATATCCCTATCGGTACCTATATGTCTGTAGACATCCATACAACCTTATACGATAATATATACTTTAGTTATCGCCTATCTTACGAAAACAAAACATTATAATTTATATTGTACAGTATGCATTAATACCTATTTAATATTTAATTAATACTAATTATGACGTATTGACTACGTGGTCGAGTCCAGATTTAAATTTTTTATGAGAACTCAGTATGAAATAAAAATATTTTCTATAATGTTGTATTTGTATTTAATACCATACAGTAGTATAAAATATTGAATAAGTATTCAATTAAAAGTTTTTCTTGCATTTTCCGAAGCAAATGTTTCTTATTACACTGATATTAATAATAAATTGCAACAAGGAAATTAAGAAATATTAAGTGTTTTATTTAAAAAATCTAATTTTGTTTTTTTTAATAAACATTTTATTCACATTAAGTACTAAAGGTATTCGGTATTTTTTTTTACTGGTACAATACCCTCTGTGACATGGGACATTAGATTTACCAAAGAAAATGCCAAATATGTATTTTATTGTATAATTCTTTATAATAATTATAACATTATAAATGTCTGGTCCCTAAAAAATCTCAAGTTGTGTCCAATGGGCCATAGCTTTCTTTGGCCCTTCCCTTAATCTGGTCTTGTAATGTGGATACTATATATTATTTTTTATTGAGCTAATAATTGAATTTACTTCTTTGATTTTTTTGATCTGACTGTGTATGTTTGGTTTCTATAATTACTTATTTATTTCTTAGTTATTGAGTATAAATTTGAATTTGAAATATTGTTGAAGTTTTTAAGGAGCTGCTGACAATACATTTTTTTTCTTGATCTAATAAAACATTTAATAATTTTAAATACATTAAATTAATATTATTTCAACCATTAAAACAAAATATTTTTATTTTACATAAAAGACGCACCTATATTCTACACAAATATTTTAAATTAACATATTTCTTTTTTAAAATTAGTTATTATTTTCGTATTTCAATAATTTCATATTAAGATTGTTTAGAATATTCGCTCAGATTAAATTTTTTTTTAAATAAAAGAACATTTTTTAAAAATTCTTTAAATTTGATTGTTGTTTTTGATATAGTGTTTATATAAGTAATATACATAGTTTGAAAATATTTCACTATATTACATTTTTTGCAAAATTGTAATTATAAATAAATGAAACAACTTTAATGGCTATTATTTATTATACATTTAAAATAACTGACGAACACCCTTTTATTCACATTTAAGATACCAACCATTATTATGGTCAGCTAATTACTTTTATAGTCTATCGACTTAAACAATTGTCATGATTAGGGCTAGGATTTGTATACATTGGTATGTTTTTTGCAACTTCTTTTTACTGCTTTTGTTCATAATGTCCACAAATCAACTCATGACGAAGTATATGGTGGTATTTTCTTTTGCATGTTTTTGCATATTTTGGATAAAATGCATATTTTAATATATTTTGAAAA